CGTGGAAAGGGACATGAGAGAAATGAAGCTCACTTGGAACGAGCTTGGAAGGATGGCTCAGGACAGAGATAAATGGAAGGAGCTTGTATGTGGCCTATACCCTGCCAGGGGTGAAAGGCATTGATGATGATGATGATGATGATGATTAAGATTTCGCTGCACATTTTAACGATCGTATAATTCACTTTCATCTTTATTCTTTTACTCACATCAAGGAACATTCACGTATATTTTCAAAAGTGCAAAAATATGAAAATTGAAATTAAAATTGAAATTAGATAGACAACTGAAGAGCTCACTAGAATGATACATAATCGTTAAAACGCGCAGCGCAATCTTAAAATTGCCCTACAATCTTAAGATTATCACGCAATTTTTCGATTGTTAAAACGTGCAGCGCAATCATAAGATCGGTAAATTGCACGGAACACATAGATCTACTCAGATACATGTACGCACATAATAATATGCAGTTCTACATTTATTTTAAAAAATAACAGAGTAGACCATTCAAGCAAAATAATGCATGCACTCTTTTTTACTAATCTTCTGTCCCCGTGGTTTTATGCACCCCGCATAATTTAGCATAATTTAATAATTTTTTGCATAATTTCTGATTATTTTCCTTTATCATTCTTTGTTAAAATTAACAGAATCGCATAATTTCACATTTGGGCTCAGTTTGCATAATTTCAGAATTTTTCTTGCATAAAACAACGGAGACAAACTAATAAGGAAAAAAATTGAAACTCATGTCAGTTTCAAAAGCGCCTTAATTACAAATAAAACAAATTACAGTGCAATTCAGGACCGAAAAAAAGTGTTGACTTTGTGCAAGGTTGACTTTATCCATTGTACTACGCGCCATGGAAAATTGAAGATGAGGGCTACCAAATTACAAAGTACCTGGTAACAAGATGTTAGCTCAATTTCAGTGAGTATAATTGCCCTAAGTTGGCACCAAAACAAGAGATAATGAGTGAACAAAGTAATTGGAGGTGTGTACACCACTAGCTCAGGACCTAAATATCTCTTCTTTAAATGAATTCATCTTTGGATTTAGCCCCAAATTGTTGACTTCA